ACATTTTTTTAAAACAGTACAATTTATTTAAGTTAAAGACTTAAAACTAATTGACAAACCTGGATCAAACTTTCCATCATTTTGTTGACATCCTTTTATCGCCAATGCTCTTCCAAAATGCCCTCCTTTGTTCTTGTAAACATTGATCTCATTATTGACAACTTCATGTTGTTTATCAAAGTCTCCATGATAAAAAGTCTCAACACAATTGAGGAAGCCATCCATAACCATTTCATCCAATTGAATGTTAACATCCTTATAAAAGTAATAAGGGTTCAACAAGTAGGCAGTTAGATGCAATTCACTATCAAGCCTGTCTTTCATCTTTTCATCAATTATGTCCAAAATAGGTTGATAATTTTTCTCTAGATTATTACTAGCTTCTTTGATGGAATTCTTAGCATCAAGAATTTTTCCATAAATAAAACCCATAGTAGGCTTATCCCCATCTGCAAACCGAAGAACATTGACCAAGGGAGTATAAATGTTTAAGCATAAACTCAATGAACTCCAAAATGCTGTACTCATGACGGTTGCTAAAGATGTTTTTCCCCTGGCAGTTTTTGAATGACTACACTCTTCCCACTCATCACTACCAAACATAGACTTAAGTTGAGATTTTTTTTCAAGCAAGCTTTGCAAAGTCAAAAAACAAGTCGCAAACCTTGTGATTCCCGGCCGGACTATATCTCTTTTCTTAGTAAAAGCTCTCATCATTGCCAAGGTCTTGTGATGAGCATAAATAAAGATGGTGAGAGTTTTTGCTTGATCAATAACTTTCTTAAATCTGGCCAACTTCGAAATGCCTTCCAACATGAGATCAATGGTGTGGGCAGCACATCCAGTCCAGAAAATGGCAGGTCTTTTCTCCTTCAAATATTTAGCAGCCAATACATTGTTTGTAGCATTGTCTGTTACAACTTGGACAACATTTTCTGGGCCAACTTCTTCAATGCATTTATCAACATAATCAAATATAAATTCACTTGTATGAGATTCAGTAGAAACATCTTTGGAAGAAAGAAAGCATGTACCCTCCTTACAGTTAACACACAGATTCATTATGCTTCTCTTTTTTCTATCCGTCCACGCATCAGTCATTATAGAGCATCCATTTCGTGTCCACTCTTCTTCGTGATTCTTTAGTAATCCTTTGGTCCTATCAACTTCTTCTTTCAATAAAGTCTCTCTCAATTGATATTGGGTTGGAGGTGTCCAACCTGGTCCAAACTGTCCTAGAGCCTCGCAAAACAGTTTGAAACTATCATTATCAATGGCATTGAAGGGAATACCTGCCTCATACACCCACCTAGAGCAATATTGCTGCACTGATAATGTTCTCTCCTTGAAAAGTGCATCAGAAATAGTCTGTTGTTTTTTTGGAACACCCAAAGCAGCTTCAGGATTAATGGTTGTAGCAAACTTATCCATTGGCCCGAGAAAATTAGGAGACTTCAAACTCCCTAACTCTTCTTCCAAACCATCCTCCACAATCTGCCTATCAATACTCACCTCCGATCTAAGCAAATCATCTTCCATTTTTTTTTCCTCTTCTTGTTCCTTGCATTTATTATTGCATCTCGACACAGGTCTTGATCCTCTTTCTTTGATTTCGGGCAGGAAGAAACATTTCCAGTTATATGAGCAATGTGCTCTTTCATCCTATACACCCCCCCCCCCCCCGACATACTTTTTGAACACAGCTTGCACCTAACCCGGTCGGAATTTTTTGGATCACATAACATCCCATACTTCCACCCAATATCATCAGAGTTGCGCTTGGGTATGGAAGAAATAACATCAGAAGAAGCTTGAGACTGTGGAGCAGATGCACTAGAAGACTGCATTTCTAACCTGTAATAAGCTTAAATGATTAATAAAGTAACCCAATAGGTAATATACAATTTACAGCGTACTGAAATAAATAGGCAGAATGGTGAAACTGTTTTTTTTTTTACAAATACAGCTAAGTTGCAGGTTTGTGATGTTAAATTTTTAAAATTAAGTTCTTCAAGTCAAGGAATGATTATGACTCCCCATAACTTGAGGGAAACTCTTGAAGATGAGGAAATTGTTTTGGCCTAGCCCATATTCTAGTGGTAAAGTTAAGTTAAATGAATTCAGTCTATTTCTATTTTATACATTAATGCATAAAAATCTATTAACAAATTAACTAATTACGAAACTAAACATGTTGAGTTATATTTCCATAAGTTTTAACAACTTGCCTAGTATCCACGGTAAGTTTTGACCACCTTTTTTCCATTACAGAACAATTACAAGAGAACATATCTTCTTGTAGGAGATATGTATACTGTCAAGTGTCAAGTAAAATATAACACATGAAGTAGCTAAGATGAAACTCCAAAGTTTCTTTGAGGACTTTTATCAAACACTAAAGTTGCAAACTTTATCAAACTTTTTACAAACAAATACACATGTAAAAAGACATCACGTATGTAAGGAATCAATAATAAATGTGTAATCAATCAACCAATATCAGTTTTTCACTAATTCCAATCAAGTTCATTGAATGGTAAAACATAAATTATATATTCGAATATTTCTTAATACAAGAGAAAATCAGGAGAAGATGTTACTTACTTGTGAGCTGAGGCAGGTTGTTCTAAGAACTCTTTAGATAGTGCCAGCTCCCAGGTAATTGAAGAGGGCCAACAGCTTGTACAGATGCGTTGAGAATTGAGATGAAGAAGAAAGGTCGTAAATAGAAAGTGCCCGCCCGCCCGCCAAATTGAAAGAGGAAATATGGTCAAATTACAAAGCCTAGGCATTCAGGGTAAAGAAAGGGCTATCAGCGAAAATTAGGTGTTGGGCCGCCTAGCCCATTATACCGATTTGGGCGATTTGAACGCCTAGGCGTCCTAGGCGCCCGATTACTCGCTGGTCCGACTTCCAAGCCCGATTTTGCCTTACACGCCACAGTTGGCTGCCGACTAACGCCTAGGCGGCGCCTAGGCGGCCGCCTAGGGCGATTTTTTGATCCATGGTAATAATTAATATATAGAACAAGACTAGTTGATACTTTAAGTAATGCTCAATATATTAATATGGGATATGAATAGGAAGTAATTAATATTCAAAGAAGAAGATTAAAGAAAATAACTCACAACTTACAAATCATTAAGCTTCAAAGTAGCAAAACCAAGATGGAAGAGTTTAGCTCCTCATTTGGAGACTAAACATGATAGAAAATATAAAGAAAACACTAATCTAAACTGAGCTAAAGAGTATATGTGAATTGGTGATTTTATTGTGAAGGAAAGGGGTGTATTTATAGGCTTTTGGGAGCTGCAGGGTATGATACCCGATCGGGTATATAGGATACCCGATCGGGTATCTTAGGAAATTGCCCAGAAAGTCACTTTTTTGGGCATACCCGATCGGGTATGTCGGCATACCCGATCGGGTATGTGACAAATCTTCACGAAAATTTGCTCCCACGATCATTTGTTCCCGGATTTGATTTAGACAATCGAATCAAGTGAATACCCGATCGGGTATAGGCAATACCCGACCGGGTACATGAGTATTTTTTCCAAATCAAAATCTTTCTTGTCTCCTTGCACTTTCCTTGTTCTTTTAAGGTCCAATCTTGATCCCTTCGATGATCTTTGACCTGTTTAGCTCAGAATAATCCTAATCTAAACAAATTACAAATAAAAATGAAAATAGAATATTACACCAAAAGTGTGTAATTTCCACAACTACAACTAATAAAAACTAGTTAAAAATACAAAAATACAATCGGAAATTACACGAATATCAATTACCATTAAGGGTATTTGTTTATTTGTATTAAATATATGGTGTGCACTTTAGTAGTAAACTATTTTTGCTTGATTAAGTAATTATAAGACTACTTCATTAATTGATTACTTTGAAAGTTGCATTCTTACTCTTATGTCGAATTTTATATTGTTTTATACAACTAGTTTTCCAAAAACGTGTATTTTTGAATGAGCAACATTAGTATTATTTTTTGTGACTAATATGAGTAAATTAATTTTAAAATATACTTTCTATAAAGTATATAAACAAGCTCACATGCATTTACATTCAAAAATGAAATGATACATAAAACACACAAAAGTACTAACGTTATTACAGGACAAATTATAATGTCGTTTAAGCAAAGAAAATACATAATGTCCGAAATGCTACCATTATCACATAGTACACACTTCCTTTTCAACATTACACTTCATGCATGATCTAGACATACAACAAATATACATGTATTAAACAATTTAAACATATAGCAATGGCATGAAAAATCAAATAGCCATTTGGCTAAGTCCATTTGAGATGGGTCTTTATCAAAATCCATGATAGTCAACCAATTATTCCTCCCAAATCAGTAATTGTATGTGAGGAGTAAAGGAGGAACAGATGGACAGATTCAGTCCAAAGAGAATACTCAATGCAGCATAAAACGCATCCCGAAACGCTGAGGAGTGAAAGGAAGCACAGCTTGCCATTAAAGCAAATAAAACAATTAAATATAAAACCTCCAAGTCTGGATAACATAAATCTACTAATCTAGTCAATGATAATACAGCAGATCAATACGGAGTATAAACCTGATTAAAAAACCATTTGACTATATGAAACCTGTTACTTAGAGTGAAGCCCACATTAGCAAAAAAATTGAAAAGTTGAAAAAAAGACTCGAGTATTTACATTACATTATATAGTAGTGAAATGGAAGAAATACCAATAGAAAAGGAAAAAACAGATATGCCAAACCAATTGTGTTCAATATTGACAACCAATGACACAATGATGTTATATTATTCTGATTGCACAACGAAAAAGTAAATTGAAACTACACAGCCGTGCGAGCAGATGAAACTCCTAAGCAACCGATCTAAAATTGGTCTTCGACTGCTCTGAACTCTGAAGCAGATGTCTTACGCGTATGTAATAGAAGGGCAGAAGATTACTTTCGGTTTTCAACGGTAAATTAATACATAATACCTTTCAGCTGAAAAAGTAACCTTATTCTTATTTTTTTGGCGGATAAGGAATATCAACCCAAACAACCAAATTGGCATGTGTTTGGCTCTCTTTTTATATTTCAAGGCTTATCAGCCCATTTTCTAGGCTCCAAACGGCCTCTAAGTAAAAAAAAAATAATTCTTAAAGGATTGTGCTACTAATTATTTTCCATAAATTGGAAAATATTTTAAATAACCAACAAAATTAAGTAAAGTACATAGTACTAGTAGTACATAACCTGTTAAGTAAAAAAATTCTAATTCTTAAAGGTTTGGAAAATATATTCCAAATCCTAGAGTCACACTTCCTCCATGGCGGTGGTTCATAAGGGGGCGGATTATCATCCCTCCATCTTCTTCCTCCATGGTCGTGATCTGCATGTGGGTCGCCTCCATCTCTTGACCAAAATACTGCACGAACACAGAGAGTCCAAAAGTGAGTAGCCTCTGCAATCTGCATCCCTATCATCCGAATAGCCGCTAATCTAGTGCACTTTGTAATCAAATGCCTCGATGGGTCTCCGCTCAAGTAAGAACCAGCCCTGATCTTTTGACATGACTTATCCATAACCAAAGAATATTGCAGTGTGTAAGAGCGCAACCCACAAATGCCGGACAACGGTGATTAGGATCGGCCGCCGGAAAAACTAACCCTAGACGCCCGACTAGAGTCGTGCGCTAGGAACCCACCCGCCTGCTTTTTAGACTTGACATACTACGGGTAAATCTACTCTAAATTAGCATATTTTACTCTCTTAAAACACTGATAAGTATTAGGATGTTTTTACTTGGACTGTAATTTGCTGGTCTGGTCTGGTCTTATCTGGTCTGGTCTGAACTGGTCAGGTCTGGTCTGGTAAGGTCTGGTTTCTTTGTATTTTTACAACTATCCAAGTCTGGTCTGGTAAGGTCTGGTTTCTTTGTATTTTTATAACTATCCAAGTCTGGTCTGGTCTGGAACAAATTACAATCCAAGTAAAAACATCCTTAATAGTGTTTGGAAATACATATGAAATTATATACTCATATTTTCCTATAAAAATTAAATCGATTGTGTCTAAGGATGGCAATGGGGGCGGGGACCCGTGGGGAACCGCCTGACGGGGGAAGGATGGGGCGGGGATTGGGGCGGGTGCCGGGTGGGGACGGGGATGGGTGAGATATTTTTTACGCAGTTAAAATATGGGGCGGGGGACGGGTATTGCTACACCCGCCCCGTCCCCGCCCCGTCCCCGTTATAAATATATACTCAAACACACACACACACACACACACACACACACACACACACACACACACACACATATATACACGCTTATACTCCGTATAAATAATGTACACACATATTAAATTAAATTATATGTAGTATATAACAAACTCATATACATATAGACATACATAATTGTACACGGTTTAATCATGGTTAATGATTTTTTTTCATGGTTAATGAATTAATACACATATTATACTAGAATAATACGGAGTAACAAGCTAGTAATGATTAAAAGTATTTATCATAAATGTTCTATGAGTTTTAAGAGTGGGAAAGTGAGTAAATAAACACACACACACATTTATATGTAATATAATATGTAATTAATTGTATTGTAATTGTTGAGAATTTTGAAACAACGTACATGATGATAATATGTTTACTTATATTTTTACTTTAATTTTCTTCAATTCACATAACTTATTCAAATTGAAGAATTATTAAAATTGACAGTATTAACTTTTAACAAACACAATACTTCAGTACGTGTTGCGTGTGTGAGTGTGTGTATTATATATGACTGTGTGCGCATAGATATATATAGGTTTAGGATCAAATGAGAACGACGCTTAACGTGAGAATGTGCGAACACCACATTTACCCCCAATATGAAGCACAGTGGGCTCGAGCAATGCACTTTTTCGTATCTAGCATAATATTTACAAAAGTGCCACCGTGATTATATATATTAGCTTATATTGAGAAAAGTTCAAATGTGCACTAGAATGGCTCTATTGTGTATCACATTGGATTAAATGTGAGTGTTCCCACGTTAAGCATCGTTCTCGTTGGAATCGCACTACATATATTTATAATAAGAGATTAAAAGTATATGTAAATACGATAAATTAAATTTATATAGGGCACCCGTGGGCACCCGTGGGGGACAACGGGATGGAGCATGGATGGGACGGGTCTGGGAGTAACGGGTCAACGGGGATGGGGCGGAGATAGGGGAAACTTTTTAGACATGGGGTGGGGATGAGGGAGTGTACCCGCCCCAAACCCGCAGCCGCCCCATTGCAATCCCTAATTGTGTCTAGAATATGTATCCCCGGACTAGCCTCGAACTCTCAGTACCCATATACTAGCCTCGAACTCTCAATTTATGTGTGCTAACTGATATGAATGTCAGAATGTGGACTTCGAATCCCGACTCAGGTCTACTGGTGCATGCCAAGCTCTATGGGGGTGAAGAATGCTGGATGAACTCATGCTTGAGCAGTAAAATGAAACAAAAATGGTATGTAACAATTGTACTTTAGTACAGCAATTGAATTATTCTAACATCGAGTTTTTGACGGGAGAAACAAACAAATTGTTCCATTTCTTGCGAGTGCTAGTGGAAGATGGTGAACTAAAGTTGATATGTTGCCACTCGGAGCACCAAGCAGGAGCATATTCACAGAATCTCTCAGTACCGCATCATTCCTCAAGCTAAGGAGTACGATGGGAGTCCCAGTCCCAGAGAAGAAAGATCTCTAAACTGAGGTTGTGTAGTTTAAGGGAGGGAATGTTGGGAAAGTTAGTTTACTTTAGTAAAAATCAATTTTCTTGATCAAGTCCATTACTGGGTTTTCTTATTCTTACGGTATCTGCTATTTTTAAGCATTCGGTGTGGTAAATTCCATTTTTAGTGTCATGTGCTCTGCAATGTGTGTTGAATGAAAATTGTTCTTTTTTCCCTTCAGTTTATATCTTTTTCTCTCCGGTTCAAAGTGTTTTACGTTTTGTTAATTCATGAGGCTTTCTTCTACATTGTTCTTTCCTACCAAGTGTTTGACAAAATTCTTGTGAGAGTTTTTCAAAAATGATTTTACTAAATAGTTTTTGTAGATCTTGAAGATTTTTTGTGACATTGTGCTTAAAGATTTTAGGAGTAAGTGTCTTGTTGACTGAGTATGAGTGAATATAAAATCTCTAATTTTCATCCTGGAATTCATTGCGGATAGAGAGGCTCTTAAAAGTCCTTTTTAGTGCAGGAAAGGTGAGTTTTTGACTTTGTATTTCACTGCGCTTTTAATCTTCATCCTTTTAATTTAGAGAGAGCGTGTGCGTGTGATGCTATATATTGTGCACTTATTTCACACAAATTTGCTTGCTTGTGTAGGCGTGTAGCTAGTTGAGTTTAATCAATTATGGCTGCAATATCATTATGTTCAAGAAGAAGCATATCTACCTTTTGTTATCTCTGGGACAGAAGAAAGCAAACAGGTAGGTTTCATTTTCTTTTCTTCTCTCAGTCTATTTGAAATTCCCATTTTAATGCAAAGTTTTGTTGGATTTGCTTTGGTATTACAACAGACAGCGAAATTGTTAAAATGTTTCAACTTGCAAGTACTAAAGCGAACAGAACAAGCTATCCATTAAACCAAACATCTTCACTAAGAAATGGTGCTTCAAGAACGTTGGATGAGAGATTTATAAGGATCCTGAAGATTTTCAAGTGGGGTCCTGATGCAGAGAAGGCTTTAGAGGTCCTAAAGTTGAAAGTGGACCACCAATTGGTTCACGAGGTACTGAAAATAGACATGGAGGTGGGTAGCAAAATTGCATTTTTCAAGTGGGCCGGAAAAAGAAGGAACTTTGAGCACGACTCGACCACTTACCTGTCTTTAATCCATTGTCTTGAAGCAGAAGGTTTGACCGGCGAGTTATGGAGGACAGTCCAAAAAATGGCGAGTAGTCCTTGCGTTATTTCCCCCAGTGACCTCTCTGAGATTGTAAGAATTCTTGGGAGGGCAAAAATGGTAAATAAAGCCCTCATTGCATTTTACCAGATCAAAGCTCGAAAGTGCAAGCCTACAGCAACAACGTATAACTCGGTGATTCTTATGCTGATGCAAGAAGGTCAGCACAAGAAAGTTTACGAGATCTATAACGAAATGTGTGAAGAAGGTAACTGTTTCCCAGACACAGTGACCTATACCGCACTGATATCAGCATTTGTAAAACTGGGTCAAGATGATTACGCTCTCAGGTTATTTGATGAGATGAAGGAAAATGGTTTACACCCCACTGCAAAAATATACACAACTCTGTTAGGTGTTTATTTCAATAAACATGGGATTGAGAAGGCATTAGGGTTAGTCAATGAGATGAAGGAAATTGGTTGTGCTCCAACCGTTTATACTTACACTGAATTGATCAAAGGATTAGGAAAAACTGGTCGGACCGAAGAAGCTTACTCTATATTCCTGAACATTCTAAAAGAAGATAGTGTTAAGCCTGATGTAGTACTCATAAATAATGTCATAAACATCCTAGGAAAGGCTGGACGTTTAGATGATGCTCTTAAACTGTTTGAGGAAATGGAGCCTTCCTTAAAATGCTTTCCCAATGTAGTGACATATAACACTATTATAAAATCACTATTCCAATCCAAATCTCATGTGCCTGAAGTTTTATCATGGTTTGGGAAGATGAAGGCAAGCGGTGTTGATCCGAGCTCTTTCACTTATTCAATATTTATCGACGGGTATTGCAAGACAAATAGGGTTGAAAAGGCTTTGATGTTACTTGAGGAGATGGACGAGAAAGGGTTTCCTCCCTGCCCGGCTGCTTATTGCAGCTTGATAAACACACTCGGAAAAGCAAAACGGTATGAAGCTGCAAATGAGCTGTTCAAAGAGCTTAAGGAGAACTGTGGGTCTTCAAGTGCTAGGGTATATGCTGTGATGATAAAGCATTTTGGCAAATGTGGACGTTTGAATGAGGCCGTTGACCTTTTTGAAGAGATGAAAAAGATGGGATGTGATCCCGATGTGTATGCGTACAACGCTCTTATGTCGGGGCTGGTAAGGGTGGGTTTGGTAGACGAAGCTCATTCCTGGCTTCGGCGAATGGCGGAGAATGAGTGTGTTCGTCCTGATATTAACTCATACAATATAATCCTGAATGGTTTGGCCAAGAATGGCTGTGGTTCTACAAAACCTGTAATTGACATGTTTATGAAAATGAAGGAATCAAGAGACATTAAACCGGATGCCGTCTCGTACAACACTGTTCTTGGATGTCTCAGCCGTGCTGGTATGTTTGAGGAGGCTGCAAGGTTGATGAAAGAGATGAATGTAAATGGTTTTGAATACGATGTTATTACATACAAATCCATTCTTGAAGCAGTCGGTCAGATTGATGAGGATCTCTCAAGAAGAGCTTTGTGAAAACTGTGCGTCCAAAAGCTCTGTATTTCAAAGTGCCTCAAAGGAATGCAGGAATCCCTTTAACCTCCCTATATACACCATTCTTCCTAAAAAGGGTTTTGTCCTTTCCTGTCACAGCGTTCCCTAGGTTCAATTTCAAGGAACGACATTTAGAGGCAATCATGTTAAGCATGAGGTCACTGCAAGTACCCTGGTGCAAATGTTAGACCCTGCGAACTGTACTGTATTCCTTATCCGATTTAACTCCTAATTAACTGTTGGGTTGGTGGCAGAGGG